GCATTTGTTGCTTGCAAACTTATAAATATGTATAAACCCCATTATAAATAAATTGTGGCTGGCAGATGGCATTTTATCTGCCAGCAGCCATTGCATGGACTTATAAATGCTTATTAATCCTCCACCTTTAAGCTCCCAGCATGGACCCTGGGGTCTATGACATGAAGTGGCCTGAAAACGTAATCATAAATTAGGGGGGAAGACATCAATAAGGGCAGGAAGGGCTGGCAGCTCCCACCTGATGGAGCTTCTCAAAGTCTAGACTGCCCGCCGGCATCACTTGCGATTTATTAGAAATGCAAATTCTCAGGCCCCCGCCAGACCTGCTGAGTCAGGGACTCTGGGGAGCACCCTGATGGCTCTGACGCTGCCTTCCACCCCATCTGCTTAGCGTGAAGGCTCATCTCTCTGCCGGAGGACTCCCCAGCTCAGGGAGTGTGCCCAGGTGTGCACAGGGCTGGCCAGGACATTGTGGCTGGAAACAGCTTCCACCAGTGCTGGGCAGGTGGGTAAATGCCCAGCGCCCTGCCCGCCCCGTGGGTCGCTCTGAGGTGTGTCCGGTCCTCCCCCCGCAGCCCCCAGAGCGATGAATTACCCACATCCTGGTGACTTGCCGGTCACGCCCTCCTCGTCAGCTTCTCTCCCTTCCCCACCCCTGGGTCATCACCCAGAGACACGACACACACTCAGATCCTCTCTCGGAGTCTGTTTCTTGAGGACCCCAAACTAAACAGAGGACTAGAAACACTTCCTCGTCAGTGTGAGTGACACGCTTGCACGCGTTTGGGAAGGAGAGGGAGAAAGGCAAACCCAAAGAGGGAAGAGCTACTTGCCACTTTCCACCGGGGGCTGAGCTTTATGTACAAGCCCTCAAGGACCCCAATAAGTCCTGCAATCTGTCCTAGATTCAGCCACTGACCCTCCAGGACGTCACCTGGCTCCAGCTTCCTCACTGGAAAACGGGTCCCTCCAGCTGCACCGCCCCATGCCACTCCCTTGCTTGTTGTTCTCTGGGGCCCGTGACAGTTCACGTTCTGGCAAGGCGGTTTCTCCCCTTCACCATGCTCAGGACCCATTTTTAAAGTTTGCCTACAGAACCAGAGTGTTATTCTAAAACCCAGGGCCAAGACTTGTCTGCGTCCTGCGGTTACTATTTTTAATCTTTCCACAATTCTTTCCACTTCCCATCGGGCTGTCACCACTCACAGACGGGCATGTGTCGATGGCAGCCGTATGTACTCCACCGACGAGACAGAGCCGGTGCGCTGCTGCGAGTGCAGCCCTGGGAAACGCCTGTCCTCCGCGCTTATACATACTCACCAACCCCACCCCCTCTCATGACGGGGACCGCACAGCCCCGAAGTGCAGGTCACCAGCCACTGCCCAGAGAAACCCAGCAACCAGCGCGAGGCCAGGCGGCTCTGTGCGGGCAGGAGCCGAGGCTGGACGGAGGCGTCCACCCACTGCGGCACTGTCCAGGGAGCCTGTCCGAGGAAATGTGGGACTGGCCTTCACGTGGCGACTGGTCAGGGGCATCTTCAGGACCCCAGGACGGGCACAGAGCCAGGAGACACATGTTGACAGTGTCCCTAGCACTGAGGGCGCCCATTGAGGGGCCACACAAGTGCTGCTCCATCCACTCCTCCTCCCCCGGGTCTGCCCTTCCGTCTAAGCCAGGCCTTTTTCTCCGCACACGGCTCGTCACTTTGGGTCCTCACTGGAAATCATCTGTGGTGCCCCCCTCCAGCGGGAGACCCTCAGGGCACCACATGTGCCCCAACTGGTCTTTTGTCTGGCTACCCCAACACCCAAGATGGCCTGAAACAGAATCGTTGCCCAGATGAAACACAAGTCAAGGCAGAGGGGGCAGCTGCTCCTTTGGTTTCTCAAATACAACAAGCCCAAGAGTGAAGCTTCAGCACAGGGTTTAGACTGGGAGTTGTCTGAATGCCTGTTGTCTGTCAGGCTGCCCGCGGGCCGTCCAGGCTCCCTGGTCGTCAAGCATCCAAGCTGATGAAACCAGCGGTGAGCAGCCCCTTAGGGCCCTGTGGGCTCTCACCAGGATGCGAGTATCATTTGAAGGACAGCTAATTCACACTGGATGGTGTGTAGGGGGGGCATGTGTGGTGGTCCTCAGGGCCACGCTGAAAGGGGGGCCACTGTAGACTGCAGGACCCGCCTTGCACTCCTAGCACCCTTGGAGGAGGCCTGGGTTGAGTTGGGGGTCCATGAGAGGGGCAGCAGGCCCTGGGCTCCGTGGGCCCAGGGTGGCCCGGCACAGGGCACAGCCACCGTGCCCTGGGAGCTGGAGGTCCTGGAGGGCATAGCCCTGCCCAGACAGGGATGCCGTCCCAGAAACCACGGGAAGAGACCCAGGCTGGGCAGGGAGCAGCCCTGTGGCATCAGCCTGGGAATCCTGAACTCCGAGTGCAGCAAAGTCGGGAACACTGCAAGAGGGGAACAGCTCTGCTGCCTGCCGACCGCATGGCCTTGAGCAAGGGGGTCACAGATCTGAGCCTCAGTTTCCCCATCTGTGAGTGAGGCTCACAGTAGCGCCCACCACAGGGCACTGGAAGGAAGAGGTGAAATGACTCACGTGAGCTCTAACACGCTTTACAAACCGGCAGGAACAGGGATTGGAAAGTCGCCGCCCTCTGCTCTGTCTCAGATCTGCTTGCTGACTTTTCCCATCGGCACTGTTCCTCTGTAAGCAATCTTGTCATCTGAGCTCAAAAATACACATTTTGAATTAATATTGAAACAAATTTGATCCCCCAATACTTTTAATTTTCTAAATTGATTACCATGCAAAAAAACATGATACATATTGCTTGTCACCACGGAGATAAACATGACTTCATAGCAGAGAGCTACTAAAACCACAGATTACCATTTCTCACATCCCCAAGAGGAAGAAGAAAGCAGATCAAACGTCCAGGCGCTCACGGTTCTGAACTCTCGTTTCCTAATTTGCTATTGCCCTTAACATCAGCATCTTGGCCTCACACAGCAGGGCATGCAAGACTGCTGGACGCAAAGTCGTTTCATCCATTTTTATGTGTGTGCTCACTCACACACAAAGAAGGACCAGGTGTCCTCACAGAGGTCAGACCCTTATGCACGCCTGCAGGGCTGCGGGCCTCCAGGAGCTGGAGGGCTAGGATGCTCTTGCAGTCACCCCAAAGTCTGCGATGTCGCAGGGCAGGAGTCTGAGCCAGCTCTGCCTCGCATCCCCGTTCGGTGCCCACTGCTTCTGGGTAACTTGGAGCAGGGTATCCACACTGCTCCTGAGACAGAACCGTTCCAGGAAGAGGCAGGGTGGTCTAGATTAACTTCATTCTACTGCAGAACATTCTAGAAGACTGAAGCCCCTGTCAGCTTGGATTCGCTGGACCCTCAAAGGGCAAAAACTCCACAGAAGGCTATATACAAAGCTTGAACCTGCCCTGACGCATCGTCACCCATCAGCTCTATCCCATCCTTTCATCCTGGCCACACACACACCCACAAAGTAGAAATGGGGTTTGCACACTTAGCACTAGAACTTTGCAGAATTAGTACTCATCAGAATTTTTAAAATCTACCCTTAGCTCCTCATTCTCGAAGCATCATATTTATGACTAACCGACTCAGTGTGCATGGAACGTCTTTCCGTGGCACTGATCTAGGGGTGTCGCACACCACGGTGCTTCACTGGGACAGGAGCCAGCGCTGCATCCATTGGAAGACGCCAATGAATGAATGAATCCTTCTATCTTTTAACAGACAGCCTCTGTTAAATCACATGGTAATCTCAACCCAGATATTTCTTAAAAGTCATAAACATCATCAGCTTCCCAACACCCAACACCCAATGGGAAATCACAGGGTTTTATCTCAAAGGAAGGAGCCAAGACAAAGTACTGCGTGGGGCACCTGCCCTTTCCATGGAGCAACGGTAAACTTGCTGTAGAGACAACCACTCATTCTACCCACCAATGGTTCCAGAAGTGGAACCTCAAATTCATTCCCCCAACTGCTGAGCCTGGGCCCCAGCTTCAGGCAAACGTAGACCCAGGAGGAACGGCCGACGCGAATATCTCCAGGACTAAACCCTGAGCACACGTGTTTGCATCTGTCCTCAGCATACCTCGTACACGAGCTTTTTCCTCTACTGACTATAAGGGGGGACAATTTTACTAGCAGCTACCACAGCAGCCTGTAAGCAGCCCGTTGGCTAGAAGGACATACGACCAAGACTCTGCCCCCACCACCCCTGTGCACGTACTCGTTTGGTCATCACACGGATAAAAACAAGGGAAGCATTTGCCAGTCAAGATCCTGATCAGAGAGGCTTATTTTGCGCCATAATTGGCAGTACAGTGAATACCCAAGAACCCCTGGACAACAGGGCTCGGGGGGACAGCACGCCTGTGGTCAGCACAGCCCGAAACAGCTGGCGTGACGCCTGCTCCTTCGTGCAGCTGCACGAGCCGTCTGCTGCTGGAAACCCGTGCACACAGGTGCGAGGCAGAAGCCTGGGAGTGAGGACGAGGCCACCCGCATCCCGACGGAGGGGCGGCCATGAGGACCGGCGCTTGTGACCTCATCCTGTCACAATTCCGTGATTATTACCGACCCTCCTGCTGGCTTCTGCTCCTCATGTTGTGCTTATTGGGTAAAACTGCAGGTCACACCTTCCCAGTGGAATTTCCCATGGAATGGGTCAGCTGAAGAAAGTTTTTGCCTGGACAACTACAGTCTACCTTTTTTTCCATTAAAAACATACAGCACAGAACATTAATCTTACATCTTTCTTAGTCTTAAAAAATATAAATATAGAGGGCTAATTTATACAGGATGTATAGGTATGTACACCTTTAATATGCACATGAGAAATCGGAAAAGTTTATGAAACTTGCACTTGTCAGAAGGCTTCCTCCTGGAGCTTCTGAACAGGGCTCTGAGCCTGCACACAGCTGCCTGAGCTCCAGAGCCCGACACCCATCTGCCAGGAAGAGCCGAGTCTCCCTGACCAGGGCGCAGGGTCAGGACAGGGCGGCTGGCGGGTCACAGGTTCCTCTCCACCGGCTGCTGCAGGCAGAGCTCGCTCCCGGCGGAGACGATGGGCAGGCTGTTCTCCAGGTGGTGGTGGATGAGGTGGCTGATGCTGTCGAAGACCCTGTCCTTCGTCCGGACCTGTGAGGGACGCGAGGGAAGGTTAGCACGACCCACAGGCAGGAGAAAGAGGACACACTCCACTCGGAGTCAGCGGGTCATCTGAGCTGGAGGGGCAGCCTCCCCAGCGCTCCCCAGGCTTTCAGAGATGGTGTCTGAAAAGTCCCCAGTTACCTTCCATGACCAGTCAATCCAGTCCGATCCTCTGTTCACCCCTCCAGAACTGAGCCACAGTCTACCCCTGTCCTTCAGCAACTAGGGGCCATGGTGAGCTCCCCAACCTCTGCCAGCCTTCTCTCTCCTGCTTCTCTCCCCCCTTACAGGATCCATCGCAGAAACCTCTGTCCAGCCGTCCTGCATCACCCCACTGGGGTCTGCAGGACCCCGTGCCCCTCCCACCTGCAGGCCTTTGCATGGTGGACCCGGGTCCAGAACATGCTTCTTCCACCTGGGAGCCCAGCTCCACCTCCATGTCAGCACCTTCAGGTCATGTCCCTTCCTCACCACCCCTCCCCAGGCCAGCCCCCAGCATCCTGACTCCCCACCAGGAGGGAGCCCCTAGTTCTTTGAAGGAGCTTCAAGTTCCCACTGGAGGGTGAGCCTGGCTGCGACGGAGGGACAGTGCTGCACATTCCTGGTCGCTCAGTTCTAGAGCCTTGTACAGTGCCTGCCCACGAATTTCTCCTGAATGAATGAATGCCTGGGATGGGGGTGGTGTGCCATGAGGCGACTCACTGCTTCCCTCTGCTTGCTGACCTGTGTCCTGGTCCCTGGGGTTCCCCAGCCTCCCGAGGTGAAAGACTTGTACACTGAAAACTATAAAACATTGTCGAAAGAAATTAAAGAAGACATAATAAATGGAAAGACATCCTGTGTTCATGGAAGACTTAATATTGTTAAGATATCAATACTACCCAAAGCAATCTACAGATTTAATGTAATCCCTATCAAAATCCCAACAACATTTTTGGCAGGAATGGAAAAATCCCTCCTAACATTCATATGGAATCTCAAAGGACCAGAATAGCCAAAACAATCTTGAAAAAGAAGAACAAAGTTGGAAGACTCATACTTTCTGATTTTAAAACTTACTACAAAGTTACAGTAATCAAAACAGTATGGTACTGGTATAAAGACAGACATATAGACCAATGGAATAGAATAGAGAGCCCAGAAATAAACCCTCGCCTATATGGTCAAATGACTTGGCTAGGGTGCCAAGACCATTCACTGGGAAAGGACAGTCTCTTCAACAAATGGTGCTGGGAAAACTGGACATCCACATGCAAAACAATAAAGATGCACTCTTAGCTAACACTATATACAAAAACTAACTCAAAATGGATCAAAGACCTAATTGTAAGACCTAAAATTACAAGACTCATAGAGGAAAACACAGGGCAGAGGCTCCAAGATGTTGGATTTGGCAATGATTTCTTGGATGTGACACCAAAGGCACAGGCAACAAAAATATAAATAGACAAATTGAACTTCATGAAAGAAAAAGTTTTGTCCATCAACAGACATTTTCAACATAGTAAAAGGCAACACACAGAATGGGAGAAAATATTTGCAATTCATGTATCTGAAAAGGGATTAACATCCAGAGTATAGAGAACTCCTAAAATTCAACAGCAAAAAAATCAAACAACCCAATTCAAAAATGGGCAAAGGACTTGAACCGACATTTCTCCAAAGAAGATATACGAGTGGCCAATAAGCACATGAAAAGATCTTTAATATCACTGATCATCAGGGAAATGCAAATCAAAACTACAGTGAGATACCACCTCACACTCATTAGGATGGCTACTATTAGAAAAAGAGATGGGGCTGGCCCGGTGGCGCAAGCGGTTAAGTGAGTGCGCTCCGCTGCGGCGGCCCAGGGTTCACCGGTTCGGATCCCGGGCGCACACCAACGCACTGCTTGGCAAGCCACGCTGTGGCAGCGTCCCATATAAAGTGGAGGAAGATGGGCACGGATGTTAGCCCAGGGCCAGTCTTCCTCAGCAAAAAAAGAGGAGGGTTGGCAGATGTTAGCACAGGGCTTATCTCCTCACAAAAAAAAGAAAGAAAGAAAGAAAGAAAGAAAAAGAGAAAACAGAGAATAACAAGTATTGGCAAGGATGTAGAGAAATTGGAAATTTTATGTACTATTGGTAGGAATGTAAAATGGTACAGCTACTGTGGAAAACAGTATGATCATTTCTCAAAAAATTCAAGATAGAATTCCCATATGATCCAGCAATTCCACTTCTGGATATATACCCAAAAAATTGAAAGCAGGGTCTGGAAGAGATAGTTGTACACCCATGTTTATAGCAGCATTATTCACAATAGCCAAGGCCTGGAAGCAACCCAAGTGTCCATTGCAGATGGATGAATAAACAAATGTGGTCTACACATACAATGGAATATCACTCAGCCTTAAAAAGGAAGGAAATTCTGATACATACTACAACAAGGATAAACCCTGAGGACATTATGCTAAGTGAAGTAAGCCAGTCACAAAAGGACACATAATATATGATCTCACATATATGAGCTCCCTAGAGTGGCCAAAATCATAGAGACAGAAAGAAGGATAGTGGGTGCAAGGGGCTAGAAGGAGAGGTGAACAGGGAGTTAGTGTTTAATTCGTACAGAATTTCAGTTTTGCAAGATGAAAATAGTTCTGGAGATGGGTGGTGGTGATAGTTGTACAACAATGTGAATGTATTTAATACCACTGAACTGTATACTTACAAATGGTTAAGATGGTAAATTTTATGTTATGTATATTTTGCCACAATAAAAAAAAATTGAAAAGAAGGAAAAAAAATGGGCAAAGGATCTGAACAGACATTTCTTCTAAGAAGATATATCAATGGCCACTAAGCATATGAAAAGATGCTCAACATCATTAGTCATCAAGGAAAACACAAATCAAAACCAGAGTGGTATACCACTTCACACCCACTAGGATGGCTAGAATCAAAAAGACAAACAACCAGCCAGCCTGGTGGCACAGTAGTTAAGTACTCACGTTCCGCTTTGGCTGCCTGGGTTTGCTGGTTCAGATCCCGGGTGCAGACCTACACTGCTCATCAAGCCATGCTGTGGTGGCGTCCCACATACAAAATAGAGGAAGATTGGCACAGATGTTAGCTCAGGGCCAATCTTCCTCACACACACCAAAAAAAGACAGACAGTAACAATTGTTGGTGAAGATGTGGAGAAATCAGAACCCTCACACACTGCTGGTTGGAATGTAAACTGGTGCAGCTGCTCTGGAAAACTGTCTGGCAGTTTAAGTGATTAATTATAGAGTTACCATATGACCTAGCAATTCCACACCTAGGTGTACATCCAAGAGAAATGAAAACATATGTCCACACAGAAACTTGCACATAATGTTTACAGCAGCATTATTCAGGATAGCCAAATGTCCACTAACAGACTAAGCATAAATAAAACGAGGTATATCCATAAATGGAATATTATTGCCATAAAAGTGAGTGACATACTGACACATAAACTACAACATGGATAAATCTTGAACACATTATGCTAAGTGAAAGAAATTAGGTACAAAGTCTACATATCATATGAAAGTCTAGAATGGAAAAATCCATAGAGAGAGAAAATGGATGAGTGGTTCCTGAGGACTGAAGATGGGAGGATAGGGAGGTGGTAGCTAGGTGTTATGGCATTTCTTTTTTAGGTGATGAAAATGTTCCAAAACTGACTGTGGTGTTGGATGCACATATCTGTGAATATACTGAAACCATGGAATTGTACACTTTAAATGGGTGTGTATGTAAATTATATCCCAATAAAGCAGTTTTAAAAATCTCTATCTACCAGTTCATAGAAAATACCAAGGTCAACAGTGCCACAAGGAAGCAAGGACCCAAATGCCAATGTGGGATATCCTGCAGACGAGCATCTGGGTGCTCGGACAATTCAGCGGTGCGGGCAATGGCGGGAGAGCCGCAGTGGAACAAGCAAGATGCACCACATGGATCATGTTTGGAGTCTGATTCCAACAAACATACCATAAAAAGAACATCTTTGAGCTAATCAGGAAAGTTTGACTATGTTAGGTGGTTATTTTTAATTTTATTGAATATAACAATGATGATATGTTGTTGATGTTTTTAAAGCGTCATTATTGGTAGAGATGCGTGCTAAAGTACTCACAGGAGAAATGCAGGAAGCCCGGGATATGCTATAAAATACTTTGGAAAGCTCTTCCCTCCCCTTCCTCTCCTTCCTGAACCAACAACTAGTCCAAAAGCCAAGCAAGCTAGGTGTCTGTGCTGTGAGGGCAGGGTAGTAGCCACGATGGCCCCTAAGGGGAGCCTGGAGTGCAGGCAGAGTGAGGCGAGTGCCCACAGGATGGACGGCTGGCCCAGGGTGTGGGAGGCATCTGTGCCAGGAGGAAGGCGGGCAGCCCAGCATGGATGTCAGAGCCGAGGAGGGGAGGGCACGTATGTGCGAGCATGGAGGAGTGTGGGGTCAGAGAAGGAACGGGGTGAGGAGGAGCCCAAGTGGGGACTGGCTGGACAGAGAAGTCGGAGCCCAGGCCGGGTGAGGATGGGGAGGCAGCAGCCACGACGGGAGATGCATTATGTAGAGGGGAGTCCATCAAATAGGTGAAAATATGAAGGGTAGTGGGAGTCAGGTTTCTATTGCTGGAGGAGGGGGCTATGAATGTGGAAAAGGGAAAAAGTAAAGTGAGCCCTGTGATATCAGAGCGGAGCTGGAAGAACCATCGTGAACTCATGTTTCTAATCTACACAGAGAATAGAAATAGACATAGAAATAAATGTGTGCTCATGTGTGTGTGTACACTAATTCTGTCCACGTGGAGGGGGAGTGCAACTCCCTACCAGCAATGAGCACACGTAGTGCCCAGGCCTTGGTCTCCTCAGGAAAAAGAGCCAGCCAGGGCTCCCTCGGGGAAATGGCTGGGCGCACGACCAGGGCAGAGGAACACAAGCCCGTTACATTGTTTTCTATCAGAAGGAAGAAGATGC